CCACCAATACTTTGCCTTCCTCATCTTTGATACACTTCACCTGGTCCAAGTCGCGAGCCTTCCTCTCTTTTGCTTTTGCGAGCCTATACAATTTCTTCTCCCCACCTTTGTCCCCCCTGCTCGACATACAAGCGTTCGAAAGCTGCCGTCTTAGCCTTCGTAACTGCTAACTTAGCTTCTGTCTTTGTCGTCTTATAAACTCTCTTAAGCGTCCGCTTCTCTTCCTCGTCTACGCACTCCACCAACTTTGTGTATGCAGCCTTCTTCGCTTCCACTTTGCCTTGGACTTCCCCATTCCACCACCAATCTCCTTTATGGCCTCCAAATTTACCCCTTGATACCCCAACACCTTTGAAGCAACTTCTCTAATGCAACTAGCTGCTTTATTCCATATGGTGTCCGCATCCCCACTACCACTCCAAGCCCCCACCCCACTCAACTTCTCACCCATCTCCCGAGAAAGGTCAGGGGTCAAGCCACCCCACTTAATCCTCGGTCGATCAGATACAATCTTTTTCCTCCTATCCCTCTTAATTACCAGGTCCATCACCAAAAGCTTGTGTTGGGTAGTAAGATTTTCACTTGGGATAACCTTGCAGTCCTTAAAGAGGCCTCTATCACCATTCCTAAGGAGTAAGTAATCTATCTGAGTCTTAGCTACCGAGCTATGAAAGGTAACCATGTGGTTCTCCTTCTTCGGAAAGCATGAGTTAGCAATCACCAACTCAAATGCCTTAGCAAAATCCAGAAGCGAAGTTCCACCCTCATTACAAATTAAACTTAATAATGACAAACAACGATAATGCATGGTTATAGGTAATTTCAAATTTGCCAGATTCGATATTCTGTCCATAATCTTTTTGTGACTTCAAATGTGTGCCATATTCCTTTATATATACATAAATCCACCCTTGCATCTATATTTTTTTTCACGATTTCTCAATTTACTAGATATAGGACCTCGTGCCAACACGGGGCCCAATATATATTATTTTTTTATTTTAATTTATGTCATATTATGGAATTTGAGAAGTTATTGAAATTTTTATATGATTTTAAAAATATTTTAACTTTTTAGCTATTGTTATTTGTAGTACTTTTTTTTAACATAATTTTGAAAATAATATTTATTACTCTGTTTGTTCTAATTTATGTGGCACACGCAGAATTTCAAATATTAACCCTTTTTTATATGTCTCTTTAATATATTAAGTTGTTAATTATTGTATTTTATAGTACAATTTGAACCTAATTTTTTAATAATATATGTTATTTGCCATGTCCCAATTTATGTGGCATTAATTGATAGATTTGTTGGAGTCGAGAGATTTATTTTGTTAATTATTGTAATTTATAGTTTTTTTTTTGTCAATTTCAAACAAGATATGTTGTTAATTGATAGAATACTTGTAATGTAATTTAAAAAAATAAATATGTGTGACTCTCCATGTCCCAATTTATGTGGCACATGTAAAGTTTTTACAATTAACCAAAATTTTAATACATTTAAAAAAATATTTTTAAGTCGTTAAATTTTAAGTAATTTAAATTGTTGTATTATTTATTACAATTTATAATACTTTTAAGTAGTTGAAATATTGTACTATTTATTATGATTTATAACACTTTTTTTAAAATTTATGTCATATTATGGAATTTGAGAAGTTATTGTAATTTTTATATGATTTTAAAAATATTTTAAATTGTTAGCTATTGTGATTTGTAGTACTTTTTTTTAACATAATTTTGAAAATAATATTTATTACTCTATTTGTTCTAATTTATGTGGCAGATGCAGAATTTCAAATATTAACCCTTTTTTATATGTCTCTTTAATATATTAAGTTGTTAATTATTGTATTTTATAGTACATTTTGAACCAAATTTTTTTAATAATATATGTTATTTGCCATGTCCCAATTTATGTGGCATTAATCGATAGATTTGTTGGAGTCGAGAGATTTATTTTGTTAATTATTGTAATTTATAGTTTCTTTTTCGTCAATTTCAAACAATATATGTTGTTAATTGATAGATTTTTTGTAGTGGACTATTTTTTTTATTAATTATTGTAATTTATTGTTTCTTTTTCGTCAATTTCAAACAATATATGTTTATTATATAATCTATTTTATGTGGTACCAATAGAATTTAGAGAGTCAATTAAATTTTTTATATAAGTTTTAAATAATTAAGCTGTTAATTATTGTAATGTATAGTATTACTTATATTATTTTTAAATATATTTAAATATTATATGTTAGGTTTTTTATCCTAATTTATATGGCATTGATAGAATTTAAAGTGTCAAATAATTGTTAATTATTCTAATAGATAATATGGAGTATTTAAGTCATTTATAGTATAGTAATTAATATATAATATGTAGTATTTAAGTGGAAGGTGGTGGGGCCCACTTATATAGTTTGATAAATATATTGGATATTAGTTGTGATTTATAGTATAGTAATTAATAATATATAATATGTAGTATTTAAGTGGAAGGTGATGGGGCCCACTTATATATTTTATAAATATATTGGACATTAGTAGTGATTTTATTGGACCATTGGTAGTCATTCCTAGACTCTTCTATAATATAGTAATATTGATCAATATTAAAAAGTTATTTTCGAAAAAAGAAAGAAAGAAAGAGATGGAAAAGGCATACTATATGGTATAGACAATTACTATTGTCCTCTTGCTTTTTGTCTAGTTTGTGTGAAAAGTGAGAACAAATTAAACTAAAGGAGTAAAATTAAACGTATATGTCTAATCAAGTAAGATGTGTCTTTGACCTATATATCATTGAACAATTTTCACATATAACAAACACAAAAATCATATTTGTATGATATAACTATAGTTTGCATAATTGCGCTCCATAGCAAACATAAATATGTATATTTTGCTATACATATACAAAAGAAAACAGTTATATATAATTTGTTTCTGTTTCGGTATACATATACAAAAGATCAATTGTATAATCTGTGATTGTATAATGCGAGAAAGAGAGAAAGACAAAAGAGAACTGGGCAGGGAAATATTTGTATTGTATAATTATAAGTGTATAGGACGAAGATATATGTATTTGCATGTGTATATACAATTTTCTCTCGCTTTATACAAACATAAACACAATTTATACATTTTTGTTTGTAAGAGAGGCGAGGGAGAGACTGACGAGCGAGATCTGGGAGAGTGGCGAGCGAGATCTGGGAGAGGGGAGAGAGGAGAATGAAAATATATGTATATATACAATTTTCTCTCACTTTATACAAACACAAACACATTTTATACATTTGCGTTTGTATAAAAAGCGAGAGTGGCGAGCGAGATTCACTAGGAGAGAGGCGAAATAACAACAATTTGCTATGAGGTACAATTAAATCAAACTATGTTTATAGTATTTAATTTGAATTAATAGTTTGCTATTATATACAATTTTCCCTATATCATTCCTCTCGATTTTAAACCACTAAAAAGGGGAATTTTCATATAAATAGTTCGATAAATTATTTATTTATTTTTTCTAATCGATATATATACATTATACATTAATTATACATATATTATACGTTTATCAACGATGTTTAGTTCAATCAGTGAAGGAGCAACTATTTAAGCTAACTCTTCAAAAAGGGAAAAGGGATAGGAAGTATAATACCGACGAGTTTCAAATATCAAGGGATATATTTTCTAGGACTTTATTTTAGTTGGATTTTCTCGATTCAATTTTTTTTTCATGATATAATTATTCTTGAAATTTTTAGTTTCTAATTTACAAGTCCCACCTTTTAAGAAATTGGTATAAAATTCATTATACATATTCACTTTGTGTTTTTACCCCATTAATTATAGTCTTACATCATTTGGGTTATGAATTTGTTCGTTTTATTGTCATATCCATTCAAAACAAACAATATAAGCTGATATAAAATTCGATCAGATTCTTTAAAAAAAATTGTTTTGATTATTTGCAAAGATATTACTCTTTCTGTCGTCCTAATTAGTTTGTTCATTGTCTTCAAAAGACTCATTTTCTTCAAAGCCCAAAGATTTTGTTCTTTTATCCATAGACTCCGCTAAACACTTTTGATTGAAGCATATGGTGACCTAACACATTGAAATTCATTCCTCTGTCATTATTTGATGAGCACTCTCAAACTTAGACTTATGATTCATTTTTCATTTGTATTTCCTTCAAACTTAGGCTTTTAACCTACATTTTCATGACTAACAATTTGGGGGGTGGGGGGGGGGGGTGCTAATTAGGAAAATGGATTAAAGAAGGTGCTACATGATTTCCAATGAATAGGTTAAAGCTCAATGGAGTTGACTAAGGTCGTTAGGAAAGGAAAAATTTAGACAGAGTAACTATTCAAAGAGGGTTTAAGATCATTTTTCAAGTCAAGTCATATCTAAAATTTCTCTTCACATAACATACATTTGACGGCGAGTTCCAGACAATATGCATAAGCAAGAAAAATTATAATATTACCACAAAAGGCATCACAATACAACTAGCTATAGTTAATCATTCTCAAAATCAATTGAAATGAATGACTTTTGACAAACTATTTCGGATTAATTATAATCCATTTGTGAATCAAAAGCCAAATAATGAATGGATACATGACAAAAAAAGATTGATTTCGACATCCTTTTCACCTCATTTATTCAATTTTTAGAAATTCTTTGCCAATAAAATTTTTTGACAGTCCAGCTTTAGACATGTGTAAACGGACTCAAAACAAAAACTTAAATTTAACATTTTTTTTCTTAACAAAGTTGCCTCTCAATCTATCATAGAGAAATGCTAACTTATTGACATACAAAATTAATTACATGAATAGTAAAGTTTTGAAATTATGTGCATAATAATCGGTAAGAACTTACTAACAAAATATATTTTTTAAAATTAACAGTAACAATAAATGCATAAGTAATTTTTTATATTCTACTTGGGGGTATTTTGGTCCTTCCAATGCTGTTATCTCCTTCCTCTTTTGTCTGTGTTCTACTCGATGCTTTTGGTTCTTCGTTAAATCTTGCCTGAACTGAATTTGGGGATTTTTGCTTCTTTCGAGGATTTGTAATTTTGAGAGCCCTATTTTTTTTTTGGCCTAAAGCCACTGCTTTAGGGTTGAGCACCGATTTGCATATCTGAATTCTGAACTATGGGATTGGGAGAAGCTTCTAGAACTTCAACCAATGTCGGAAACAGTGACGGCGGTGGCGCCTCCACTTCCGGCAGCAGCGTCAAGAGATTTCCGCTGGCTGCGCAGCCGGAGATTATGAGGGCTGCTGAGAAAGATGACCAGTATGCCTCCTTCGTCTATGAAGCTTGCCGTGATGCTTTTCGTCACCTCTTCGGTCTCTCTTACTACCCTTTCTGTGATTAGCTTCACTACCTATCTATGTATCTTTCGGAAAACTTAAAATTGTTGTTTTTCAGGTACAAGAGTCGCTGTAACTTACCAGAATGAGGTAATTCGTTTTGTTAAGCTTACTTGCTTCTGTATGAGTTGTTAACTAATGAGAAAAATATTTAATTTTTATTTGATTAAGAGTTGGAAAAACCGATTCTTTTTGTTTTTAATTTTTATTATTGTTGATAGTGGATAAGGGACCTTGTATGTACCTTGAGATATTGCTCTGTTTAGTAGAATAATGAACTTCATGGCAAAATCCATTTGCCAAGTGATGTATTACTAATCAAAATGAAATTTACTCCAATTGAGGTATTGAAAAATCTGAATCATTGAGAAAACTGCAATGGGGAGTTTTTCAGCAAGAATCACCCTCATCTCTTACTGTGAGCTTTCGTAGAATGTTTTTTTTCTTCTGATCCTCTTTTGGCTGGGGTAAGACCTGGTGGTTAGAGTCTGGAGTTCTGTATGGGTTAGGATATCCAAGAAATAAATGAAAACTACAAGTGACAATCTGAAAATGACTGTAGGTATTAGTCAGATGAAAACTTTGTGTACTCCTTTTATATTGGGTAGGAGTTTCAATTTAAAGAAGTGAAAATGATTAGAATGACCTGGCATCACGAGGTGTGATATTATAGTGCAAGAGCAACTTGCTTATTTTGGTGGCTTATCATGAAGATGACCGACAATGTTATCAATTAGTGGTTGTTCATAATTCTACTATTTACTGTAGAAATTGGATGGGAAAGAAGAATTATGTTTTTCTCTTCCAACCATGCCTGACCTCAAAACTAATTGTATCAGTTCTCTCCTCTTTTACCCTTTCCTTTTCTTTTGTGGATCCGAAATGACATGAGATAGCCCGTGGGTCTTACTTGTGAAGCCTAACGGTTCTAATTTTATAAGTTGTTAACCTAGAATCTATACCACAAGGATAGTCATTACTTCCTAATACTAGAGTTGGCGCATTTTTCATTTCAGGCAAAACTCTTAGGGCAGATGCTCTATTATATGCTGACAACGGGTGCAGGGAAGCAAACATTAGGAGAAGAATACTGTGATATCACTCAGGTTGAATGAATTTATGTTTTGCTGTTTCTACATCGTGTCTAAGTGTCTTGAGCCGTTTGGCTTTTCTCCTGTTGTGTATTTTGTCTTTACTCATGTTTACTACTCTCTCCCCTTTAGTTTATGTTACTGAATTTAACTCAACACAAACTAGAAGTTTTATGGAGTGCTAGACTAGAACATTCTTTCTTTCTGATAAAGTAACAAGTCTTAGTCTAAATATTTTATACAAAAGAATTCAAAAACAGGTGTACTTTTCTAAATTATATGATTTTTACCATTTGATTTACTGCATCAGCAAATTTTGTTGTTCTTCTGTGCAAAAGTATCTATGTTCGAATTACAATTTGGTATTACAGGTTGCAGGACCATATGGACTTTCCCCAACACCTGCAAGACGTGCTCTTTTTATTTTCTATCAGTCAGCTGTTCCATATATTGCAGAAAGAGTCAGGTTCATTTACATTTCTCGGAGACTTCATATAAAGACATCCACACCTCTTACTTTTCCTTGTAACAATTATTTATTATTGTATGGTTTTGCAAACCACCAATATTTATTGCCTTTTATTTATGATGTATTGTTTTTCAGTTCTAGAGCAGCTTCCCATGGCATCACCCTGGCTGATTCAATGGCGGACTATGCATTTGGGGATGATCCTACTTCAAGCAACGAAGCTGAGGCGTCACCTACTTTTGAGATACACTCATCTTCAACATCCGGTCCATCAATTTCAGCTCTTTCAAGATTGAAAGCCAAGATAAGGGATTTCTGGTTGTATACAGTTCGAAGGTGGCCTTCGGTACACCCCTTTCTTCATAAGCTTTTGTTATCTCAGATTGCCGAAGTCTGGGCATTAAATTATGTGTTTCTCTCTGACTTGTATATATAACTCTTTGTCATAGATGTTATCCACAAAATTCAATGGATAAAGTTGCTTCAGTTAAATCTTAAGCTGGATTTCTTCTGAGTTGGAAATCTGTTTTTTTTTTTTTTTAAATTATACTGCAATTTGGACATTCTCTTGAACCTTATGAAGCATCTACGACTCACTGGATTTCCTGCAACACTTTTTAGACTTTTGGCGGCTGGTGTTAAACTCTCTGGATCTTGTGCACTCGCCAATTGTTAAGTCCAGAGGTCCTCGTGGAGCAATACTGCAAGCTAATAGTTGTGATATTCCATATACCTAGTACAAAAGTTTAGAATTACTTCCACCTTAATAGAATGTCTTGTGGCCCGACAAAACCCTATTTACTGATGGCTAACCTTGAAGCTGCCAGAACTGCTGACTGTCATGTTCAACTCCTTTATTTTGTTGTAGCTTGCCAAAGTGGCTAAGACATAGTTGACATGTAGAGATAATTGGGAAGTACCTTGAAAAGTATGTAGTGCACATTTGGTGAACTCTCCATCATCTTTCACTTCCAATTTTTGTAAAACAACATACATTCTTGCTGATTCTTGCAGATGCTTCCCCTTGCTCGTGAGATCTTGCAATTGGTTATCCGGACCAATCTCATGTTCTTCTATTTTGAAGGTGACTTTATTTGCCACTCAATAAACCAATTAAGTGCTGCTAGTTTCTGAAACACATGCTAAAAGTCAGTAAATTCTCTCTGTGTCAGGACTTTATTATCATATATCAAAACGTGCTGCAGGCATACACTATGTGTTCATTGGAAAACCTATGAACCAGCGACCTAGGTAAATTGCTTCAAGCTTCTGTTGCAGAAATAGTTGTATGGTCTGTAACTCTTTGCATCAGATATCTGCTCTTTGAAAAATGACTTCTTGTCCCTCTGACAAAATTTGGTAGATTGCTGGCTATATAATCTTCTTTTGTGTTCGTTTCCTTGTGAAGGAGAAAGTTGCACAAAAATGGTCTTTTCATTTGACAAAGATGACGTCCCTCATTGACCTTGGGATAAAATATTTTTGTATCAGTGCTTATTAGTTTTCTGCCAGCTGCTTCTGTTTTTTTAAATATTTTTTTTAATGCTTTTTCTCTGGTATTTTAAAGGAAATATTGGGAGTACTGGTCTTCAAAAGGAAAGACTCTTTAGCTTTGCCAAAAATATTGCGCATTGGACGTGTCTTCTACTCTATGCCTTGGGATGTGGGTAGTCAGATATTTCACTTTCATGTACTGTTTAAAACGTTTTCTGTATCAAACTTCACAGTAGTGGATGATTCTATGTCTGGCACATAGTCATTTCTGAAATAGTGATTGTTTGGCTCCTTGGTTTCATAAAGATCCCAGTTGGACATTATTGGCTGCTCAAAATGTTCTTGTCGTGCAGATATCAAATACTAGGGGTCTTCCTTCTAATTCAATTATGTATTCTTGCTGCTGAAGGTCTGAGACGTAGTAGTTTATCATCCGTTTCAACTTCTGCTCAACAAGCACCCTTTGGAACTTATCGAACTTCTGCAGGTGAAACTTTTTTGCATATACTTATGCTCAGGACTTTCTCTGAGTATCATGCGCTAAATGTTTATTTAGGTTTGTCACCCCAAAATACAAAATATTTTATTGTTTGAAGAAGAAGAATAGTTGTACCCATTATGGACTTCCATCATATGCTCCAAGGGTGTGAGTGTGTGACTGAGGCTTGGCACCAATAGAGGAGAGAAGGATTTTAATTTCAAAATGCAGTTTTCTATGATTTGGAAGATGCGATCATAGCAGAAAGAGTAATTATGCTTCATGAAGTCACAAAATTTGGTTTTGGTCTTCAAGGTTACTTTTGTGTCTTTGCAGTCATGTACCTTTTCTCGGTCTGTAACTATGCACTAGTAGATCAATATTGTGGTCTCTCTGTATTAGTTTTTCCCTTCTTCCGGTCTATCGTGGGTCAATTTTTTTCACTTTTTGGCTGTAATCTTTTCTCTTTGTATCTTTAGGCCGAGGTTTACCTGTTTTAAATGAGGAAGGCAATCTAATAACTGCCGAAACTGAGAAGTATGGATTGGTTGCTGAATCCACATCAACTTCAGAGGTATATTTCGTTTTACTTTCAAGAATTAAGTGTTCTACGTAATTCATTTAGGTTATTTGACCTAGAGAGAAGTGATAAACTTCCTTTGCTTAAATTTAATTATTTGAACAAATTACTCTTATGCTGTTTCAGTCTCAAGGAAACAGTCCAAGCAAATGCACACTTTGCCTAAGCAGCCGCCAACATCCAACAGCCACACCTTGTGGTCATGTATTTTGCTGGTATTGACTCCTGACTGTTTCTCTTTATGCCCATTATTTTGGTTAACAATTCATTCCCCGGAAAACCAGAAAGAAAGAAGAGGAAAAAGACATAATGATCTTACCTTTTTGCACTAATTGTAGGAACTGCATAATGGAGTGGTGCAATGAAAAGCCTGAATGTCCGCTTTGTCGTTCTCCCGTAACACATTCAAGCTTGGTTTGTCTGTATCATTCAGATTTTTAGTCATGGATAGGTCAAATATTGCAAAAAGATAACTGCAAAATAAATCATGAAGGACAGGTCTGTTCCAAATGGTGTCAAGAAAAGATTCAGTAGTGTACTTCATGACGAGAAATATGAGATCCTGTTTTCTTTTCTGTTGCTTACACACACAGCTCAGGAAGTGCTGTTGAGGTAAAATGGTGGTTGTGAGCCGTGTAAGTAAGGAGAGTACCACGAGTAGATGAGAAACTTTGGCAGATCATTTTATCGAAAGCATTTGTCGATCCGGTATGAGAAATATTAACTCAGATTTTACTTGGCATGTTTTTTCCAGCATTAGTCGACCGGGTATGAGAAATAAGAGTTGAAATGCAATGTAACATGAACTGCAACATTTTTTTAAATATATGAAAACATTTGCAAAGTATTCTTACTCTGGAATTTCAACACATATAAACCAAAAGATAAAGATGAAAAATTCCCTCTCTTCCAATGTGTGTGAATGTGAAATTGCTCTATTACCACTTCTTTTACTGCAAAATTTGACATTAATAATTAATCTCAAAGATATAATAGAATGTAAAAGCAAAAGCAAATCTTATTTTTAGCTAAACCATCCACCTATTTGATCATTCTAGAATGCATTTACTTGTTGAAATTTAATACGAGAATTACCTCTTGAAGAGTTAGCAGATATTATGAAGTAGGTTAGGCTCTAGTTCTATGGTTTTCTATCTAGTGATCTTTAATTCACTGCCAAGCTCTGAATGGGTAAGTATCGCAGGGCAAACAACTTGGGCTGGATCCATCGTTTGGATTATAATTGGTTCGAAAGTGAAGTGACTACCAAGGCCATTGAGATAATTGGGTTAAGTTCATTTTGGTATTTTAGCGCACAAAAACAAGAGCAAAGAAAAGATTAAATTGTAATTTACATCTCGAATTCAGATATAATTTTTTCTTGGTTGATATAAAATTTTCATTATACATTATTATAAACCACGATAAAACTTATCATGAAAAAAAATTACTTTATAACTAGAATATTAAAAAAAAAAATTCCAAATAAATGAAATTGTTTGACACACCCAAATAACTAATTTTAGTCAGAATTAAAATTTGTGATTAACGTTATCTCGTATCTAATTTGATGCCTCGAGATTATTTTATCAAATTATTTGTACTAATAAAATATTGAAATAAATCATTATTCCAGAGGAATAATGAATATTCTTTCCACGTCCTCACATCATACAGATATATACATCAATCACTATGTAAAATAAATTAGTGTTGGCACTTTTGCCTATACGTGGAGCCCCTTTCAATTAAACCCATAAACATAACAAATCAAACCGAACAAGTTTTATTTTTGCTCTTTCTACTAATGCTACCTTAATGTGCTATAAATAAAATCTTTGTTTGACCCCAATTTTTTTTTTTTTTTTTGAATATATTCAAATCAAAGAAATGGTTATTGAAGGGGTTTATTCTGGATTTGTGTGTTTACTTATAGGCTTAGTTTTGAGCACCAAAATTGAGTTGTGTTATGGTGGAATTAGCAGTGATTATGTAAGAAATTATAATTCTAATGTGGATATGTCATTGAACAGTGATGTATTTCGAGTGCCAACTGGTTACAATGCTCCCCAGCAGGTTTTTTCTGATTTTTATTTTATTAATTTTTGAGTTTTGATTTCATAATTTTGAGTTTAATTTCGTAGCAAAGTATAATCCGAGGTTTAAGTTGATCTTAATAGAGTTATAATTAATCTGGGATTGAGGTGTAATTGATTGATTCATTAGTTCTTATTTATATATTTTTGTCTTTTAAGTATTGAAAACACCTTGAACTTGACACAGATTATGAGTTTCGTCCCCTTAGCTACACCCTGATCTACCACATGGCATAACAAAACAAATGGTTTCAAACTCTGGTAGGAACATGGGGCTTTTAATAAAAAGCCGAGACAAGGGTTGAAAACACCCCTAAACTTGACGAGAATTTTGGGTGTATTTCTCTCATTGTTAATATTGTGGCATTTGGGAGCAGAATTTCATATAGATGTCTATATTAGTTGATTCTAATTCTGCACAGCTTTGTTGTGTTTAGCATCCACACGCTTTTGATAATCCCATTGTTTCTCGAGTGTCGTGATGAGACAAAACATATTACTCCCTCCTTCCCATTTTATGTGAGATACTTTGATTTGACACAGAATTTAAGAAAGGAATGAAGACTTTTAAAACTTATGGTCTAAAATGAATGACAAGAATTTGTGTGGCTATAAATCATTTCATTAAGGGTAAAACAGACATTTTATAGTTAAATTGTTGCTTAATATAGAAATGTGTCATTCTTTTTAAAACTGACTAAAAAAGAAAGTAAGTCACATAAATTGAGACTGAGGGAGTAGTATGTAGTACTTGATGTTACTTGTCTATGGTGCCACCTTGTGTATTTTGGTTTAGCTCATCCTGTCAAATGAATGTTGAAGGTTTACATAACACAAGGTGATCATGAAGGAAATGGCGTGATTGTTTCTTGGACTACAACTGATGAACCTGGCTCAAATGCAGTCCTCTATTGGGTTGAAAATAGTAATGTTAAGAGCTTCGCGGTGGGCTTTGTTGTTAGCTACAAGTATTACAATTACACGTCTGGATATATTCATCACTGTACCATCAAGGATCTGGAGGTACGTACAATGTAATTCCATTTGGGCACGTAATGTTTGTATTGAACAATTAGAAATGCTTAAGAAAATGATATTTTGATGATCTTGTTGCAGTTTGATACAAAGTACTACTATGAAGTGGGGTTAGGAAACACAACTAGACAGTTTTGGTTTGTAACTCCTCCAAAACCTGGACCTGATGTTCCTTATACATTTGGTCTAATTGGTAATGTCTAAAGTACTGCTCACTTTTTTTTTCCGGTCTTAAGGTCCCTCGAGACGATGATGTTTATATATCTTTCTTTAAGAGCATGTAGCTTGGACTAATTACATTAGTTATAGACTTTTTCAACTCGTTCTGTTTATCGAACAGGGAACTTGGTCAGACATACGACTCAAATAGCACACTGACTCATTACGAGTTGAGCCCTCTAAAAGGCCAGACATTACTCTTCGTTGGAGACCTCTCTTATGCTGATAATTATCCGTTTCATGACAACATACGATGGGATACATGGGGGAGATTTATCGAGAGAAGTGCAGCATATCAACCTTGGATTTGGACTGCCGGAAATCATGAACTTGATTTTGTTCCTGAAATTGTAAGCATCCTATTCGTAACTATTCTGGAAGATGACGTTTTTTAACAATGATAACTAGCTTATCGTTACATTTGTTGCTCCTGGTAGTATCTTGATAGTGCTATAGTTATTCCTATTCAGCATAGTCAATTTCTTGCAGGGTGAATCTAAGCCTTTCGTACCTTACAAGCATCGATTTTCTACGCCTTACAGAGAATCACAAAGTACTTCTCCGCTTTGGTACTCTATAAAGAGAGCTTCGGCCTATACTATCGTCATGTCTTCTTACTCAGCTTTTGGTAAGAAGTTAGCATTTGTTTAAAAAGTTGTAAATTATCGTCGTGCTATAAGTTTAGTTTCTCTGTATGTCTTTTTTTTCTAGGTAAATACACTCCTCAATGGAAATGGTTAACGAACGAGTTACCTAAAGTTAACAGGAGTGAGACACCATGGCTCATTGTACTCATGCATTGTCCAATGTACAGTAGTTATGTACATCACTATATGGAAGGGGAAACAATGCGAGTAATATATGAACCATGGTTTGTGAAGTATAAGGTGGACGTTGTCTTCGCTGGTCATGTTCATGCCTATGAACGATCAGTAAGTCTCCGCGCTTACCATACATGTAGTTACAGTCTAAAATTTAACAGCTTTTGCTTTCATCTGGTAATTTTCAAGCTAACTTATGTATGTTGTTATCTGCATCTTAGGAGCGTGTATCAAACGTTGCCTACAATATCATAAATGGATCGTGCAGTCCAGTTAAGGATGAGTCTGCCCCGGTATATATTACTATTGGAGATGGAGGAAATCAAGAGGGATTAGCTACAGAGTATACTTCCATCGTTTCAATTTGATTGTCTTACTTTCCTTTTTAGTCAGTTTCAAAAAAAAAATGTCTCGCTTCATTTGTTGCAGGATGACACAACCAAGGTATTCTGCCTATCGAGAAGCAAGCTTTGGGCACGGGATACTGGATATCAAGAACAGAACTCATGCCTATTTTGGCTGGAATCGTAACCATGATAAATTCGCTATTGAAGCAGACTCTGTATGGCTTCTTAACAGATACTGGAAATTGGAGGAATCCTCTGTAGCTTATTTCATGAAATGAGGTGGTCCCTTTATCGCGTTACTGAAAATCGTCTGGTTAGCAGTATTATAGATGTTTTCGACGTAATTTTATAGAAGGCTACTCAATGTTAATTTACTCTTGGAAAATATGCAAAAAATGAAGCTCTCTCAGCTTGTCATTTACACTATATATGGGAGTGATCATATGTGTAAATCTGGACTTGCAGAATACTGAAAATATGGGACTTTATGGTACAATTATAGACAAAATGTTTTGTTTATATTTCCTCTTTTGTTTTATTTTCTTCTTCCATCTCTATAACAATACTAGTTTAGTTTTCACGCGCGTGACCCATTTGACAACAAATACTAACTACATCATTTAATTATGAACATATTGTTCGTAGCTAATCCGTATTCTGAAAAGACTGAACTCAATTATATTATCAATTATACCATAGTTCAGGATCTTCCTATTCGTTTCCAGGAGCTACTGTTTATATTAGTCATGTGGCACGTAAGTTGCACGTGTATTTTTTATACATAGAAACAAAAATTCAACGACTACCTTCTTATGGCATTTTAAACATAATTTAAAGATGTTTCACATAGAACTTCACATTTTTTGCTAATGATAAAATATAAGTTACGCTTTTAGCCTTTTACGAGTTGATAAAAAATAAAAATC